AAAGGGAAGCTATATAGTTTCCAAGAAAGGATATAGAGCGACTGTTTTAAAGTTATTTAATGCCTAAATGGTTAAGGAAAGAGATAATAATATTTCCAACCCGTATTTTAAACTATTTCCATGCGAAAAATGCGAGGCTCCCAGATGTGCCACTAAGTTTTCAGGCTATATCCATTCGGACGTTTGTATAGACGACCCCTTGTAGTAAAGGGAAGCTATATAGTTTCCAAGAAAGGATATAGAGCGACTGTTTTAAAGTTATTTAATGCCTAAATGGTTAAGGAAAGGGATAATAATATTTCAAACCCGTATTTTAAACTATTTCCATGCGAAAAATGCGAGGCTCCCAGATGTGCCACTAAGTTTTCAGGCTATTTCCATTCGGACGTTTGTATAGACAACCCCCCTTGGTAAAGGGAAGCTATATAGTTTTCACCAGGTGGTATAGAGCGACTGTTTTAAAGTTATTTAATGCCTAAATGGTTAAGGAAAGAGATAATAATATTTCCAACCCGTATTTTAAACTATTTCCATGCGAAAAATGCGAGGCTCCCAGATGTGCCACTAAGTTTTCAGGCTATATCCATAGGGACGTTTGTATAGACGACCCCTTGTAGTAAAGGGAAGCTATATAGTTTCCAAGAAAGGATATAGAGCGACTGTTTTAAAGTTATTTAATGCCTAAATGGTTAAGGAAAGAGATAATAATATTTCAAACCCGTATTTTAAACTATTTCCATGCGAAAAATGCGAGGCTCCCAGATGTGCCACTAAGTTTTCAGGCTATATCCATAGGGACGTTTGTATAGACAACCCCTTGTAGTAAAGGGAAGCGATATAGTTTCCAAGAAAGGATATAGAGCGACTGTTTTAAAATTATTTAATGCCTAAATGGTTCAGAAAAAATATAATAGTATTTCAAACACGTATTTTACTCTATTTCCATGCGAAAAATGCGAGGCTCCCAGATGTGCCACTATGTTTTCAGGCTATATCCATAGGGATGTTTGTATAGACAACCACTTGTAGTAAAGGGAAGCGATATAGTTTCCAAGAAAGGATATAGAGCGACTGTTTTAAAGTTATTGTATGCCTAAATGGTTCAGGAAAGAGATAATAGTATTTCAAACACGTATTTTACTCTATTTCATTGCGAAACATGCGAGGCTCCCAGATGTGCCACTAAGTTTTCAGACTATTTCCATTCGGACGTTTGTATAGACAACCCCCCGTGGTAAAGGGAAGCTATATAGTTTTCACCAGGTGGTATAGAGCGACTGTTTTAAAGTTATTTAATGCCTAAATGGTTAAGGAAAGAGATAATAATATTTCAAACCCGTATTTTAAACTATTTCCATGCGAAAAATGCGAGGCTCCCAGATGTGCCACTAAGTTTTCAGGCTATATCCATAGGGACGTTTGTATAGACGACCCCTTGTAGTAAAGGGAAGCTATATAGTTTCCAAGAAAGGATATAGAGCGACTGTTTTAAAGTTATTTAATGCCTAAATGGTTAAGGAAAGAGATAATAATATTTCAAACCCGTATTTTAAACTATTTCCATGCGAAAAATGCGAGGCTCCCAGATGTGCCACTAAGTTTTCAGGCTTTTTCCATTCGGACGTTTGTATAGACAACCCCCCGTGGTAAAGGGAAGCTATATAGTTTTCACCAGGTGGTATAGAGCGACTGTTTTAAAGTTATTTAATGCCTAAATGGTTAAGGAAAGAGATAATAATATTTCCAACCCGTATTTTAAACTATTTCCATGCGAAAAATGCGAGGCTCCCAGATGTGCCACTAAGTTTTCAGGCTATATCCATAGGGACGTTTGTATAGACAACCCCTTGTAGTAAAGGGAAGCGATATAGTTTCCAAGAAAGGATATAGAGCGACTGTTTTAAAGTTATTGTATGCCTAAATGGTTCAGGAAAGAGATAATAGTATTTCAAACCCGTATTTTACTCTATTTCATTCCGAAACATGCGAGGCTCCCAGATGTGCCACTAAGTTTTCAGGCTATTTCCATAGGGACGTTTGCATAGGCAACCCCCTGTATTAAAGAGAAGCTATATTGTTTCCCAATGGGGGTATAGAGGGTCTGTTTTAGAGTTAGTTTATGCCTCAGTGGTTCAGAAAAGAGAAAATAATATTTCAAACCCGTATTTCAAACTATTTTCATGCGAAAAATGCGAGGCTCCCAGATGTGCCACTAAGTTTTCAGACTATTTCCATTCGGACGTTTGTATAGACGACCCCCTTGTAGTAAAGGGAAGCGATATAGTTTCCAAGAAAGGATATAGAGCGACTGTTTTAAAGTTATTGTATGCCTAAATGGTTAAGGAAAGAGATAATAGTATTTCACACACGTATTTTACTCTATTTCCATGCGAAAAATGCGAGGCTCCCAGATGTGCCACTAAGTTTTCAGGCTATTTCCATTCGGACGTTTGTATAGACGACCCTCTGTGTTAAAGGTAAGGTATAAAGTTTCCAAAAGGGGATATAGAGCGACTGTTTTAAAGTTATTGTATGCCTAAATGGTTAAGGAAAGAGATAATAGTATTTCAAACAAGTATTTTACTCTATTTCCATGCGAAACATGCGAGGCTCCCAGATGTGCCACTAAGTTTTCAGGCTATTTCCATAGGGACGTTTTGTATAGACGACCCCCTGTGTTAAAGGGAAGGTATAAAGTTTCCAAAAGGGGATATAGAGCGACTGTTTTAAAGTTATTTAATGCCTAAATGGTTAAGGAAAGAGATAATGATATTTCAAACCCGTATTTTAAACTATTTCCATGCGAAAAATGCGAGGCTCCCAGATGTGCCACTAAGTTTTCAGGCTTTTTCCATAGGGACGTTTGTATAGACAACCCCCCGTGGTAAAGGGAAGCTATATAGTTTTCACCAGGTGGTATAGAGCGACTGTTTTAAAGTTATTTAATGCCTAAATTCTTAAGGAAAGAGATAATAATATTTCAAACCCGTATTTATAACTATTTCCATGCGAAACATGCGAGGCTCCCAGATGTGCCACTAAGTTTTCAGGCTTTTTCCATGGGGACGTTTGTATAGACAACCCCCTGTGTTAAAGAGAAGCGATATAGTTTCCGAGACAGGATATAGAGCTACACCTTTTACTTCATTTTATGCCTAAATGGTGAAGTAAAGATATAATAATATTTCAAACCCGTATTTTAAACTATTTCCATGCGAAACATTCGAGGCTCCCAGATGTGCCACTAAGTTTTCGGGCTTTTTCAATAGGGACGTTTGTATAGACAACGCCCTGTGTTAAAGTGAAGCAATATTGTTTCCAAATGGGGGTATAGAGGGTCTGTTTTAGAGTTATTTTATGCATCAGTGGTTCAGAAAAGAGAAAATAATATTTCAAACACGTATTTCAAACTATTTCCATGCGAAACATGCGAGGCTCCCAGATGTGCCACTAAGTTTTCAGGCTATTTCCATAGGGACGTTTTGTATAGACGACCCTCTGTGTTAAAGGTAAGGTATAAAGTTTCCAAAAGGGGATATAGAGCGACTGTTTTAAAGTTATTGTATGCCTAAATGGTTTAGGAAATAGATAATAGTATTTCAAACCCGTATTTTACTCTATTTCCATGCGAAACATGCGAGGCTCCCAGATGTGCCACTAAGTTTTCAGACTATTTCCATAGGGACGTTTGTATAGACGACCCTCTGTGTTAAAGGGAAGCTATAAAGTTTCCAAAAGGGGATATAGAGCGACTGTTTTAAAGTTATTGTATGCCTAAATGGTTCAGGAAAGAGATAATAGTATTTCAAACCCGTATTTTACTCTATTTCCATGCGAAAAATGCGAGGCTCCCAGATGTGCCACTAAGTTTTCAGGCTATATCCATAGGGACGTTTGTATAGACAACCCCTTGTAGTAAAGGGAAGCGATATAGTTTCCAAGAAAGGATATAGAGCGACTGTTTTAAAGTTATTGTATGCCTAAATGGTTCAGGAAAGAGATAATGATATTTCAAACACGTATTTTACTCTATTTCCATGCAAAACATGCGAGGCTCCCAGATGTGCCACTTAGTTTTCAGGCTATTTCCATAGGGACGTTTCCATAGACAACCCCTAGTGGTAAGGGGAAGCAATATAGTTTCCAAAAGGGGGTATAGAGCGACTGTTTTAAAGGTATTTTATGCCTAAATTGTTAAGGAAAGAGATAATAATATTTCAAACAAGTATTTAAAACTATTTCCATGCGAAACATGCGAGGCTCCCAGATGTGCCACTAAGTTTTCATGTTTTTTTTCCAATGGGACGTTTGTATAGACGACCCCCTGTGTTAAAGGGAAGCTATATAGTTTCCGAGACAGGATATATAGCTACTCCTTTTACTTCATTTTATGCCTAAATGTTTAAGTAAAAAGATAATAATATTTCAAACCCGTATTTTAAACTATTTCCATGCGATTCATGCGAGGCTCCCAGATGTGCTACGAAATTTTCAGGCTATTTCCATTGTGACGTTTTGATAGAGAAAACCCTATGTTAAAGGGAAGACATATAGTTCCCGAGTGAGTGAGTTAAAAGTTAACGAGAGAGGTTGTAGATCGAAATGATTTACCAACAATTTTACAGGTTGGGAGTTATGCAGAAGAAGCATATGAAGTGATTGTAATTCTCTTGACTTTACTACTAAGATAATCTAGTTTACCCTTTCTTTACCAATGTGTTGTATTTAACTTAGATTTTATGGTAATGTTGCAGCCATGTTTCTTATTTCGTTTCCGATGAAACTTTGATCATTGGTAACATTACATAACATTTGCAAAGGATGGGCATACAAAAGAACTACACAAAGGTCAAACTACTGATCATATGAATCATATTATATATAGTAGCTTCACGCGATGTATGCTCAGTTGGTTTATAAGATTATTTGATGAGAAACAAATGCATTATAACACAAGAACATACTGATATATATCTTTACTATCTATATGGCAACTTTACCTATTTGACACGCTTGATGATAAAATAGTTGGAACTAATTGAAGATGATGTTGTATAATATAAATGCATTCCCAGCCGGAAGTAAAGAACGTGTCGTCTGTTACAGACAGCTTGCAGATTAATTATCCAGCCGTCCTCGTCTTTATCAGTTAGGAGGTGGGAGATTTGTTCATGTGAACCTTCACTGAAGGGATTTGTTCCGGGGCCGCGCTGCAGTTTATTTGGAGATGTCGTATCAGATTACAAAAGTGCTGTCATCATTTGGCCTTGACGTGTTGACGGGAGAATGGCGTTGAGCAGCCGGCGGAGAGGGGTTCTTATTTAAGATGACCCAGACTGGAGAAATAGAATAAAAACGCATAATTGAATTCAATAGAAAAACACTGGAACATGCATGCTGAAACAGAACAGTGAACTAAAATGTACCTAAATATAGGTGGCTGGAGGGGTTGGTGCAGCGTTCGAAATACCTGCCTGCCCGACCGTCCGAGACGGGTTGATTTTAACTCGGGCTGTGAGATTTTCGAATCCCCCTGCCCGACGGTCGGGTTATATTTTATAGGTGAAAATATTCTAAATAATTCCCGATGATAAGCATTAATTCACATGTAAAGATGAATGATAAAATGTAACCAAAAAGAAACCCCGTTAGCTTTTAGCCAACCTAACATTTAGCGATGCGCTTATGCTACAAGCAATCAGTTTTCATATTTTTAATTAAACTATCCTGAGAAACATATGATTATAGCGGGCAGGCAGGTTTTGGTAAGGGCTGGCAAGTATTTCTGCTAGCCAGTCCTGTGGTCTGGCTGAAATTTTTGGGAGTGTCATACCCTGGTTGGTGGTGGGGAAATTAAAGGAAACATTATTCAGGAGCTCTTAACTGTTTGGACAATATTTTAAAAGAGTTCAATTTAACTATAAACCCCCACAGTATAGACTTTCTTGGTCAAACTCCTTTCACGGTATTTACTTTCGAAACAAGAATATTATATGAACAGGGTGTTATATACTACCTAGTATGCACTAGACAAATAATGTAACATGTGAATAAGTATAAGATATGTGAATAAGTACTATAATAAGACACAAAAATGTTATCAATGCTTTGGGAAAAGCCTGTGTAAGTCTATGTCTCCTGACCCCGGGTTCTATCAGATAAGGGACAGTCTCGCCACAACACAGCTGTTGCTGAAAGGGGATATAAACAATAACACAGAGATGTGGGTCAGCTCACTGGCACTTTTTACTGGCACATGTGCCGATCAGTGGCATGAGCCTTCCCCATATGACTGAAAGTGGTGCCCTTGATGTATGAATATCACACTTTTAAAAATTAAGTAGATTTTGTATACGTTCCTATATCTATGTTGTGTAGCATCGCCGAGCAGGCTACATCATATGCATGCATTTCAGTATGTACAGCGGTGAGGCGATACGGTACGCGAAATGTGAAGGTCTCATGCAACGTTGCCCGTAGCCTAGCTTAATGTTGTGACAGACACACCTGTAAGTATTTGTCAGATATATAACAGAGAGCAATGAGAAATGTTCTCAAGAAATTGTAAGAGTAACAGGCACTGTAAAATTACGTCATCAACTAGATATCATGATACAATGTTCAAAATAAAAGAAATGGAAATCACTGAAATCTGTTTTGATATTCAAGGGTTAATGGTGCATGTTGTATAAAAGGATTTTATGTATATGAATGGTAGCTGTTTGTTGCCAAATACTACCATGATTATATTTCAATATGATCAATGAAAGATATATATTATTTTGGCCTTTTTGGGATTTTACAAAGAAAAAACATTTCAGACACAGAGGACCCTATATATTAGTTAAAATACTTTTTCAAGAGTATTTGTACCAACTACAATTTTTATAAAATAAAACAATATATTCATACTAATAGTCAAACTCTATAATGTTGATTGTAATATCAATGCAGTGTCTACAACCAGTTTGCATTGACAATAATCATATGATTGTGACACAGATAAAGCTGATTCTTAACTTCATTAGGCCTTGCTTTTTATGTTTCCCTGTTCTAAACTGACGTTTCAAATTCCAACATAAATAAATTATTAATGTTATTCTTTTTTCTCTTCACACCAAAAGATATCTGCATTGCACAATGACTCTTATTATTTAATTTAATATCTTGGCACACTTGTGCATGTGTACTAGTATTTGATTACACATGCATGACTTTTTAGCAGTCATCTGTTTTTGAACTGAATATTATGCCAATAAAGATAAGTAACTTAAAAAGGGACTCTGGTATTCTTTCAGGTTTGGAGAATCAATCAATTCATTGTGAAAACATTTATAATTTCTTACATAAGTAACTTTGATCTTGATAAGATCAAAATAGATCAAAATTAAATTGAGGAGATTAAGTTATGCAGTCGTATTCATTTCAGCCAGTCTGTCTAAAATCCGGTCCTATTTTTCAGGCAATAATAAATGAATGAAGATTTAAGAAAAAATATACCTTGCCTGAGTGAATCAGTCAATATGCATATTGACTGAAATTTTCAGTCAAAATCCATTTTGGGCTTGATTATAGACACTGACACTGATGTAAGTATAATCTGTTAGATGCACAAACAAATAACATAAATAAATCCATTTATCTACATGGAATGACTGTGGGGTTCAATTAGTATTTATTTAACCATCAGAAGATTTGATGATAAACTTTCTAAATTCATATTTGCTATATGATAATAATATCTACAAAATATACTTTACTACAGGTGTCTTGAAGTAGTGTTGAATGAAAATCAGGATACTTAGATACAGCAGGGTAGTGTGTTGGTTTGTATGGGAAATAATTTGTCAACATTAAAATAAATATAATGTTACTAAAACAAGAAGCTAAAACTATGATTTAGATCTACTTATGCATCATACACATTTTGTGGGGTAGTCAGTATGATTTGTTGTTTGTTGGGACAAATCTCTGTAATTTACTACTGTTTTAAGAGCATGAGTATCAGAATTCTGTAAGAAATGATGGATCAATGATTTAACATGGGACACATGTTATAAGGGGCAGATTTATAGGTGTAAATATCTTATTTCAAAGTATGATGACTAGTATGTATATTGCAACTGAGTAACTGAATGCTTAATAGATGCATGGTAGATGTTCATTTGGCCTATTTCTAAAAAATAATAATATAAATTTAAATATTCAGATGCAACTTTAATTTTGATATAAAAAGTAACATCAGTTGTTTCATTATTTTGAACGTTATTTCTTCTTAAAATATTTGTAAAGGCACGGATGTATACTTACTAGATCTATATAGATCATTGGTAAAGGCCTGTCAAAGATGTCTGTGTGTTGCAAATGTTGGCGTATCACTAATTCTATTAAATTGAACTCCATGGTAGTATTTGTTGTGATTTGAATGCTTGAATTGTTGTGGGAAATAACACAAAGGCTGATAACAAATATGAGTTTGCATTATTTCATCGATGCAATATGTTAGCCCAGACTGACAGAATGCCTCGCTGTTTTCTGACGTAGAAAATACCGTGGCAATATACAATTTTTCATGACGTTTTTCCCGCTATATTCCATAGTGACAATTCGTCTTGTAGTTGAAGACTCAACAAATGTTGATATTATAAACTTATAATCACTACAAAACATGTGCTAGTTAAAAATATTCAGTTGTAAACGACCGTTTTTGAACGAAGGTGCAACAGGATAACTCTTTAGCTTGGCTCCGTCTCTACATGTCAGTAGTTGTCGCAGCGCGCATTGATCCGGGAACCAGACCGGAAGCGACAGTTTGGACCGTCGCTTATATCATTTCAAAAGGAGAGTTTTTGCCCTTTGGAATAAAAAGATCGCCCATTATCTGTGTTTTACTTGTTATCTATTACCTGTTGTTGTCAATGTTAATCTGCTGCTTATCACAACATATCACGCATATAGACCTCTCATCACTTGGTTGTTGTCACTCCAGCTTGATAACGGTGTGAGAATCTACATCGAAACGTCGCTATATGTAATAAACCGGAAGTTGTTTATTCATAAAGTTGGACGTTTTCTTAATTCCCTTTGTTGTTTTAACGAAGTGTAGAGGTTTTGGCATGTAGGGGTTTTGGGAAAAATCGAGGAATGATGAGATGTGTTGCGAAAAAACAACAGCCATCCATCAAAGGATTAACCGTAAATACGTTGGTTGAATAATCACTGTTATCTTGCTCAGTTCATTCATCAAAAGTAACTGTTAATATATGTAGTTTTACTAAAGCGGACAGAGTATACCCATATCTAGGCTTAAACTGCCTATGTAAACACAACACACTTTGTTCCAATGATTAGCCGATAATACGTTGATTGATTTCTCGTTGTTATCAAATGGATTTATTTCAAGAACGGTGGACATCTTGAAAATAGTTGTCACGTGTGCTATCCCAGGCGACCAATACGACTTGACACCTGTGAAAACACCTGTAACAAACTGACGTGATTATAGTTGAGAAATGAACACGAGTAATAATATCCCGAAAAGCTACATATATATTAAAAATATATTGTTACAAAGACACGTGCAGATAGCTGCAGATGAATGGGATATTGTTCCTTTATGTGGATATTCACGGATACATTCATCGAACAAGGTAACTGCCTAATATTACACATGTAACTTTGGTCTTTTGTAATTACGATATTTGCATTTTGTATTCATTCATTTGCTGTAGCATTGCACAGAATCATTCTTGTTCCTCTAGGTTATCGTTGAGAAGCTCTTCGATGCCAAGTCTTTGTTTTTACAAGCCTTTTCGTTTGTAGGCGTGTATATGTTAAACCAATGTGTAAAATGTGATTCAATTAAGTATTCATAAAACGTCTAAATATTTATGTCATTTTACAAATTGACTGAAAATCTGTCCATTTATTTAAAATACTGACTACAAACTATTAAGAAATTCAAAAGGGCTTAAAAGTATCACAACTGACTAATTATGCTAGGATAAGATTATCTTTGACATATTTTTCAGTCCATTTGTAAAATAACTAAATATTTAGGCGTTTAATAAATTTGCCTATGTGAAACGTTATTCATTTTACACATTGACTGTAAC